CGGGGCTTTTTTTTCTTATAGGTGGGGCTTTTTTTACAGTATTTTGATATAGGGGTTTTTTTTTCCGAATACTGATTAAAAGGATTAAAAAGAATATTATTTCAAATAACAGTTGTTCCAATCACAGAAAATATATTGTGTAATAAAAATCCAATGGAACAAATTAGATTTGGAATAAAGCAACATTGATAAAGTATAATTTGGAACAATGAACCTTTAAAAAAAAAATTATTGGAATCCTTGGCTATCGCGAAATAATGGATTGTGGAACAATTAGTCGTTGGAATAAAAATGTCATGGAACAAATACGCGTTGGAACAAATATTTCGTGGAACAAATAATTGAACAAATAGACTTTGGAATAACTATTTTGTGGAAGAAAAGGTAGTGATCCGATCCAGTTGACGTACGGGGATCTACTTGTCGCGGGATCTAGGTGGTACGTAACCCAGATATACCATAAAACTTATCTTTTTAGTTTTTATCTTTAGTCTGTGGTGTAAACACGTATTATCATTTTTGTTAACATTATTTAAAAAATGAATAATGATACACAACTGTCACAATTCACAACTAAATAGTAAATACTAATACACAAGTGACAATAATTGACAAGTCGGTTAGGCTTAGGACTTAGGAGTGAGGTGACAGTTTAAATTTTTGATTTACTAGTTGTGAGTTTGTGACTTATATAGCTTATACTTTGTTTACAGTTTACTTTAGTATACTTGTTTATGTTTATGTAATGTGCCGTTGTGTGTGAACATTAAAATGTTCATTGTTTAATAAAATCTTTACTTGGCTTTATTACTTGTTTTTCTTTTTTATATAAATGTCTGATCCTTCAGATTTTGAAAGTATCATTTCAGACATAGTCATCTCGCCTTGCAGTATTGACAGTCTTGACAACGAAAATGCAACCGCGAATGATGATAATTCACTATCGACAATATCTCGAACCAACAATATAATAGTAAACATGATGAACAATGGTTGTACTACCACCTATGATCCATCTCAACATGAAATGTCTCTCACTGATAGCGAACACAGTCTGCTGGAAGTACCAAAACAATTGAATGCCTCTTCTCCTTCCAGTGTTTGCTCAACAAGACCACTGGAATGGGATAGTGGAGCCGATGTGGGGTACGATATTACATCTAAACACCAGAGTCAAGATATGAGCACAATTGAAAGAATTGCAGTTAGTAGCCTAGTTTATAACACCAATTCAACCCCGATTGGTTGTGAAAATCAAAGAACCCGTACAAAAACAAAAAGTAATTCATTGGATAATCTGAACGAAATAGAAGTATCTAGAGGGAAAAAATCTACTTCGTTAGACGTATTGAAATTTACAGCTGAGAAGAGCGACACTCTACCAAAATGCCGATCACCTATGGCTTCGTCACTTTCAGTGTCAACAGTAGTTCATAAATTAGAGTGTTTGAAAACAGAATGTATTAATAAATTAATTGAAAAAAATGTCAGTTTGAATTTCAACCAACAAGAAAAAAGGTTTGAGAATTTAACCGTTAACTCCAACAAAGAACAAAAATCATCAGGGAGTAGTAAAGAATCCAATAGTACCCTGGGAAGTGTTGACACTGCTGGATCTTGGGTGGCAAACGAATTTCACGATTCAACAAATAATACTTCAGATCGAGTAAATAGCTTTGAATATTTACCAGGTAATTCATATTATAATACTAGAAATGATGAACAAGAGGACTACTCAGATAAAGAAATTAAACAAAGCACTAAGATGTTGGTTGAGGCAATGAAGCAGAATGGTCTAACAAACGAGTTTCAAAGAAAAGAGATTTTTAAAGAAATTATCGAAAGTTTTGTAAAAAAATTTGTCCAGAAAGACAAAGACAACAGTTCATTATTAAAAAGTCCATCAGATACTGATCAAACTCCTATTAGACAAGATTTTACATCTCAAACGTCTAATACTGCTAATACAATTGTCAACAATCCAACAAGTAAAATAATTGTTAAGCGTTAACCTAACATTTGTTTTATAAATATAAGTTTTTAGATAATCATTCCAGCACAATTACATTTACATCTCCAATAACCTCTTCAAGGTATGGTGATGATGGCGATTCTAAATATTATGATGAATCCTCTATGGACTCGGGCCGGCATATCAATTTACAAAAGTGTAAAATAAAAAAACTGTGCACTCCGACAAATGTAAGTGTGTAATACGTTTTTTTAAATTTAGATGTTTAAGTCATATAATAATAATAATAAATAAATAAATATGGTTTTATATTTAATGTAAGTATAACTTAAAAAGTAAGTATTATGGTACTTCATTACATCAATGCTTACTAAATAAGAAAATAAACTTTTATTTAGGAGACCATTATTTATGAAAAATATTTTGTGTCATATATGTATTATTATATCATAATATAAAATATGCTAAAATGAAAAAAAAAACCAAGAACTTTTTTGAAATTATTATTCAAGCTACTGCGATTATTGAAGAAAAAAAATTGTTTTGTTTTGGGATAATGTCCATTGTAAAAATGTAGATTTTTTTCAAATATTCTCAGGTTTAGTTCTTCAACTCAAAATTTGAAAAAAATTGTAAAATTAACCCAGGTACTACACATGATTTATGTGAACTGTTATATTAATCAGTTATCAGTATAAAATACAATAATTCTTAGAGACTACTTAATAATTAATTTAACAGTCATAATAATAAAGAAGAAAATACAATTATATATATACAAACATTTTTCTTTGAATTGAAGTAATTGAAGGTTAGACATTTTGAAAGATAAAAATGTATAAATAAAAATAAATTTTAATCATCAAACATTTCTTGATAGTATACTATCTGTTGTTACATAGAATATATCTTTCGGGAAATAGTTTTTATATGAATTAAAAATAACTTAATTTATAGTGTAGTATAGTAGGTAATTTCCAAGTTTAAATATTATAAGAGATAATTCAATTTTTGATTCATTTTAAATTTTACCTAAATGTCATGAGGTTACAGAAACAAAAAGATCAAAGTGTGCAATGCACAATTCAAGATAATTTAACCGATGTAAGTAAAAATGGAAACTCAAAACCTGCCTCGTCTACACAAAAAAATGAACACTTGGAATCAATTCGAAAAAATGATACACATAGTAAGTTGTATAGCTAATAAACTAACATTTTCTTACTTATGAATATTTTAATCAGTTATTTTTAACTAATCAAATATTTTGTAATAGGTAAAACAAAATACAGTGGCGTTCATAAGGATTTCAATAAACAAATGATTTGGTTTCATACAAATTACATGAAAACTGAAAGAGAAAATCAGATGCTTTGGATCAACAGTCAGATATCTCACTTAAATAATTTGAAAAAGTTTGTTTTTAATTTACTATTTTTCTACAAGTACCAAATGATAATATAACAAATTTTTAGAAATTAATATAACAGTTCGGGAAATGTTGATGCTTAGATTCCTATTTCAACATAAACATTTCAAAGAGATGTTTTCTTATAATTTATTTTCTGAATAAATTAAAAAATAAGCAGCTTGTAAACTGATGGCAATTAAACTTAACTAGTAAAATAGATTATGATATTTGTAAAAAACATTGAAAATACATAATTTAAAATACATTAAACATTATTTTTACTCATAAATATTAATAACCACATCATACAAACTATTTATTTACAACAGTATACCTATTTAAGAAACGGGGATGTTTATGTTGTGCCTATATAAATACATTTTTACAAACAATTTAAAACAGGTATAATGAAATAATTATTACCTATATTATATTTAAAATATTGAATTATAAATTTAAGAAGAAAAACAATGCCTTGTAAAAATATCATCTCTTTTCTGTATAAGTTTTATTTGATGTGTATTATATTATGTTGTATTGTGTTTGTATTTGCTATTTAATATTATTTGAACTTAAAAATAATTATAATTATATTTTTATCAGGCTATTGAATACCCATGAAGAACTGAAAAAAAATTGGAATACATATAAACAGAAACAATCAAATAACAAAACTAAGTTAAGGTTAGAAAGTTTACATATTATACTAAATTAAACTTATTTTGAAAGTAAAAAATGTCAACTTCAAAGTTTTCAATATCATATAATTATGCACAAATGGTATCTAAAATTAAACATGATTTTTAAAATATAATTGCTTATTTAAATTAAGTATAAATTTACAATGATTATTTATACGTAAATGATTAGTTTATTTTAAATTTTACTACTTAGTCCTGGACGCATAGTAATATATCTATTATCCAAAATTGGTTTTACTATAAGTTCCTTCATTTTATTGTTTATCAAAAAGATTATTATTTTTTTATTTATTTAGCTATCAGTACAAGACTATTATAGCTCGACAGTTACGTAAGATAGGTATACATATATGATATATGACAATATTACACCTTAAACTATAAACATTTTGTATGATAGTAATAGTATATCAACAAGATTAGATTATTTTCACAATATCAAAGTATATAAATATATTATAATAAATATAGTTGGATAATGAGTGGTACTGAGACATTCTCTAATTCTCTATGAAAATAAATGTTTTTGAAATATCTTGGTTAGGATAGAGATTAAAGGACCAATTACCGAATTTTATCAAAAAGTTATAAATCTAAAATTTAGTTAATTCAATTTATAAATTAAGTGATAATATATATTGGGTAAAACTATTGCATTCTATTCATTGTTTTGCTCAGAATCTAAAAGTTATATAGAAAAAAAAATATTAAAAATAAATATTGTTTTGAAATGACTTCATATTATTGAATATAATTTTTGAGATTATGACTATTTCTTGTTATAAGAATCACCAAGTATAGATTATGTTAATTTGTCTTGGATCATATTAATGAACTTTTTAATTTTACAGGAGAAAATTTCCTATATCAAATTCAAGTTCTGATGTTACTACTTCAACTTACACCGATTCAACTATTTCTTCTAAACCGGTGTCAGTTACTTCCAGATCTAATGAAACTGATGTTGAATCTTCAGCTACAATTTGTGACCATGTGCATTATAAAAAAGGAATTTTAGTAGATGAACCTAACTCTTTGAAAAAATGTTGTGAGACAACTCTTCGTGGCATTAAAGAGAAGAATAATCAAAACACTAATAAATTTAAAACCGCATGGTCTCAAACTGAATCATCTAATGAGACAAAATTAAAAAATAATAAAAAGGATAAATCTAAGTCTGGTGTTACTTATACAGTTGACCGCCAATTAAAACCAATCAGCAGTCAAAGTTCTATAAGTTATGATATAATATTTAAGCCTACCTCAAGATGTTCAAAAGAAATAGATTTTGTATGGACTTATCAATAAATCTTATCAAAAAAATTAATAAATAAATTGTTTTATTTCTTAGGCTAATGATCAATTAAAACAGCAGAAACATTCGATATCAGTAGCATGTCAAACAAATAAAATCCCATTCAAGCCTAAATCTAGTTTACAGGTACCTAACAAATTTAAATTAGTTAACTATTATATTTGTTTAATAGTTGTAAATCATAATATTTAAGTACATATTATACTCCAGCAAGAGAACATGATTTTGCGTATTCCCTTGCAAGACCCTTTGTGGAATCGGTCTTGATTGGGTAGATGTGCAGTAGAACCGATTTTCTCTTGCTGTAAAGAGTATTGCTTGTTTTTTTAATAATTGTAAGCTACTTATAAAAATTATATCATAAGTACTTGATAAGTTTTGAAAAAAATTCAGATGAATTAATTTATACATTTTTTTAATAAATTGAATAGGTACAAGTATATTTTAGTAAATATGAATTTAAATAAACATTTTTAACACTAAAGTAGTATAGTATACCTGGTGATTCATTAACATAGGACTTTCATTATTCAAATAATATTAATGCTTTTGAAAATATTTTTTTACATGGTTTCAATTAGTTACTCAACAATGTTTTTATTAAAATATTATGATATTTTTAAATGTTTTTTTCCTATAGTAAATTTAAAATTTTTATTTTTTTTTGAAGTGCAACATACAGTTTTAATTTCATCTTCAAAAGCAGAATATTTTTTAAGTATTTCAGAATAAATTCTAAATAATTTTAGGATGATTGCGGGATTTAAAACTAATCCAGTCCTCTCATCTAAACTTTAAATATTTATTACTCACAAACTATTCGTCTTGAATACAATTTATATGTATTGTAATACTTAGAAAAATATTCAGCTTTGGAATATGAAATCAAAACTTTATGTTATCATTTCAAAAAGTAAAAAAAACTTAAAAAATGTTAAGATGAAAAAATATAAAAAAAATTGTATTTCAAAAATATTTTTAGTTTTTGAAATAATGGATGTTTAATGTTAGTATAATCACCCGGTATAGCTAAATTTCAAATTTATAGGAATATTTAATGACAAATCGACCTGATTATATTTGCCGAGCAAAAGAAAGACAAACTATCTTAACTAACTTGGCAAGTTTAAGAGATGAGCGCAAACAATTAAAAAGAAATATGCTGATGACAAATAATTATGAAAATAATGTTCCACCAAATCCACTAGGTAATTTATATTTGCTTTTATTTTACATGAACTATAATGAATGTTATAATATTATTTTAGCTGTCAAGCGTGTAATGAGCCAAAGTGAAATGAGGAGACAGACTGAAAATAAATATCGCAAGTGTCCAGAAGTCAAAAATAAAAAGGTAGAAATAAAACGAAAAGAGGAATATAATACAAATAAAATCATGGCAAACATATTTAACAAGGTAAATAATGCATTGATTTGAAAACAAATTGAGTTATAAATAAAAAAATATTTGGTTGCAGAGACTTCAAAAAAAGACCTTAAAAGGAAAAGTGGATTTATCCAACAGCGTAAGTGTTTGCAGCTTGTAAATATTAATATTATCTTATAACATTTATAATTATCTTTTGTATCTTTTTATTGATTGATTTTGAAAAAGACAATTATTTTATGAATTTATTCTTATTTTTATGTTTTTATAATTATTAATTTAATGATAACATATTTTATTATAATTTTTTTAATAAATGACTGTAAGGTACTAAAAAAAAAAGAATTATTGACGTAAATTAGCTCTATACAGTTGCTATCTAATATTTTATTTTGCATTTAGTAAATTTATACAATATGTATACTTTTATGGCTATACAAGGTTTGGCAAAATAATTAAAAAGTTATTATTGATTTAAAAATTTTAGCTACTTTTAACTAAGTTACATAACGAGTTTCTTTCTTTAAAAAGTAACTTCTAACTTAACAAACTCATACTTAATCCATCAGTGGCGTATATAGGGGAAGGCCCACTAGGCCAGGGCCCATAGTGAAATTGCAGGTACAATTAAACCATTTTATGTATATGTACACTGTTTACAGTTTTTCACCATGATTAATTTAGCCGGTTGATTAAAATCGTTTTGAGGAATCAACAAAGAAATGTTAGATTGTCAGGACTTGCTTTGATGACTTTTATGTGTTAAATTCACAATAAGATAACATTAAAATATATATGTATATATGAAATTATCTATATTTTTAAAAAAGAATTAAAAATTAATTTTAAATAATAATTATAAAATTTAATTTGCGCAATTTTTATTAATATTTATAACCACCCTGCTCCTTAAAAAATGTATAGTTATGGCTATGTTAGTCCGTTTGACGCGCTATGTTGACTAGTGATAAATTGGCCCATAGTGAAAATAATTTGTATATACGCCACTGTAATCCATGATATGCAGTTACTTATCAGTTAATTAAATTTACAGTTGCATTGAATTAATTTGTATGCCTCATCTAAGTTCCATATTTAAAATATATTTCATTTTGTGCAAATTATTATAATAAGTATTATTTAAAGGTACCTTATGTTATTTGTATTGCAAATACTGTTGAATGTCCTATTACAAATTTGAGTATTCAATTATTGTAATTAAGAACAACTTTAAATAAATTCCAATAGAAAATTACAGTCTCACACAACTAACTGAGATAATGCAGTTTGACGTTTTAAGAGACTGGTGAGTGATCACTTAAAATATTAACCTAAATAATTAATAACTTTTGTTAGTATTGACATTGATCAAATTTAGGGACTATCGTTGTATAGCCCTTTATCATATTATTCTTATATGTATTCATTTTACTTTATATTTTTGTTCTTGTATATATATTTTCATCAATTTTAATAACTGTACATTAGCGTGAATACTGGATTGTAAATATTCGGTATAAAAAAAAAATGTAACAAATTTTTAACTAAGTTATGTTATTTATTTGTTTTATATTTAACTTTAAATTTAAGACTTATCTTACAATTTTTGATACTAAGCAGATGGAAAGAATGTATTCTTTATTTTACAATTGTTTTTTTTTCTGTCTCATGAACTTTTGACTTTTGAGACAGTAAAAAATCTCCAATTTTCTACTTCAACATCTTTTCTGGTAGGAAAGTGTATCTGGTTGGTACTTTTGGGGGGACCAAATTGATTTTATTTTTTAGATGTAACTCAAAAATTATTAACCTTGACTACTTTAAATTTTCACCAAATGTTATTTTACAAACATATCATTTTCAAAATATTTTGACCACTGACCAGTATTGAGATATTTAGTCATTATCAGACAGTTATTATAATATTCAATTTTAGAGGTGGCCAGGACGGTGGGATTGTGGGAATTTCAACCATATAATATTATCATGCACATGTTATATATTATGTGTCTATGATCTCAACTTTTTGGAAGATTCAATTCCTAAACCTTATTAATAATTATAGTCTATATTTGTGGATAGACAATTAGATTCAATCTCGGTGGTCGTAACAAAATAACATTTTCGACTTTCGTCGCACCGGAACGTTTTTGAAGTAGCGTCGTCTGATTCAGACGGTCTGAGTCTGAGTGTCTGACTCTGAAATACGTGGAACAAGTGGGTAGTTCTCTATAGTCACGAGTCACGACTAGCCGACACGGCGACACTCGTGTTATGGTCGCGGTTAACCTCAAACAAAATGTTATCTGGTCGACGATAGCGATAATAACGGACTGCCGACTAAACTGATTGAACATCACTCAGTATATTAATCCGTGGTATTTACTTTATAACCTCGTGTAGTGACTACAACAACTACCCGCGACTATTTATATACTATACAGTACTATTATATGCACTGCGGACAACGGCTCTGTTTTAAATATATATATATAAAACAAACACGTCTGAAAGTTATACATATTGTCAATTTTTTTTATTAACGACGCTGGGTAGATCTATAACTTGAACACAGACTTACGCCCTCCGACGTCGAAATTCATAATTAGGTATCACGCAACAGTCGTCTTTTGGATCGTTTTCCGCTCACTTGTTATTATTTTTGGAATCTCCGTTCATCGTTTTACAGGTACGTTTAAATAACGATTAAATAAAAAATCTACATCTGTCCGTAAGTATTAATTTGATTTTTTTATGTTATGATTTTATACACAGTCGACCACTACAGCGATGAGTACCTCCAACGTAAAAGTCGAAAATGAGACCGTGGTTCCTGCAATAGTTAACGTGAAATTAGAATCACCAGATGAGTCAAAAACCATCGAGACCGTGGTTCCTACTGTAGTTGACGTGAAATTAGAATCACCAGATGCGTCAAAAACCATCGAGACCGTGGTTCCTACTGTAGTTGACGTGAAATTAGAATCACCAGATGCGTCAAAAACCATCGAGACCGTGGTTCCTACTGTAATCGACGTGAAATCAGAATTACCGGCCGAGTCAAAAACCATCAAAACTGAAAACGAGACAGTGGTTCCTACTGTAGTTGACAAGAAAGCAGAACAGCCAACTGCCAGCATACCCGCCAACCTTGAGCGAAACATTGTTAAGCAGCTCAGTTTCTACTTTAGCGACACCAATCTCCCTTATGACAAGTTCCTGCAAAATGAGATTAAAAATGATGATGGCTGGGTGAAAATCGATGTGCTGTTGACATTCAAAAGACTGGCATCCCTGAGCAAAGACCCAACAGTGATTGCACAGGCCGTCAAAAATGCCACTGGCAGCATTTTGGAGGTCTCAGAGTCTGGTGAAAAAATCAGACGCAAGGCAGAGTGTACTGTGCCAGTCGCAGACCAAGAGTTCTTGAATGAGATGATTGCTCGTTCTATCTACTGCAAAGGCTTCCCAAAAACGGCTACTATGGATGAACTGTTAGAATTTGCCTCAACTTTTGGAGACAAGATCATTACTAAAGTCACACCTCGAAGACTCAAAACCAAAGAGTTCAAAGGTACCCTTTATTTTACATTTAATACCAAAGAAGAAGCTGAAAAGTTTTTGAACCTAGAATCTGTTACATACAAAGACGTCGAACTGGAACGCAAGTGGGAAAAGGATTTCCTCGAAGAGAAGAAAAAAGAATATGAAGATAAGTTGGCAAAAAAAGATGAGAAAATAAAAGCGGAAACGGAGAAATATTTTAAAAAAGGATATTTACTTAAAGTTGATAACGTGGATGCATCTGTTACAGTTGACAGTATTAAAGCAATTTGCGCTGAATTTGAATGGCAAGTCGCCTTTGTGAAAATAGTCGAAAACGAAAAATTAGCGTGGATTCGATTGAAGCCCGTGAAAGCTGCCAAAGACCTATTGGAGGAGTTTGCCGAAAAAGTGAAAGATCTGGATATCAAGTTCTCATTACCAGAAGCAGGTGTTGAACAAACTGTATTGAATGAAATGACCAAGGAAATGAAAGGTGTGCTCAACATGAAAGACAAAATGAAAAAAGAAAAGAACAAAAATAAGGGAGGAAAAAGATATAACAAGCGAAGGAACGATGATGGCCATTCTAACAATAAACGATTTAAAACCAACGGAAATTAATTTAACTATTTGTATTTATATTTTTTTTGTTTTGTACAATAAGGACCTAAACATGGTTATCTTTACGAGCTAAAATTAAAGATAACCTATTATAATTATTAAAACAGTTTTATTCACTATAAAATATGTATGTAGATGATCAAATACATTATGTAAGCACATATTCTAAAATGCGTGCATTGCTGGGGGTTTTTCGTACTCAGGTTTGGCTTGACGCTCACGTTCGTTTTGAATTGCTTGTACTCGAGACATCTACAAACAAGAAATTAAGAAATTCTAAAGTTATTACATCATCATTGACCATAGTAATTATGCATTTCTAATAACTCACATGGTATAATTAATAGTGGAAAATTGTGAATACTTTTTTTAATAAAAACTTCTATCAAATAATTAGAAGTTTAAACCAATATTGTTTAGGAAATCGGTCATATTATAAACTAGTTATTCTCAAACTTTATAGAATATCGAAATAAGGAAAATAGTACAATGATAAACAAAATTAAAAGATTTGTAACTAATAAATTTGCACTGAAGGGGATATAGAATACAGTAACTTGAATAAGATACATTTAAATTTAGAGTTTTTACGTATTGATATTATGTTAATACACTGTCTAGATTGCCTATCAAAAAAAATATTGAACATTTTAAATTTATGTTAGAAAACATAATAAACCAGTAACAAAAACATATTTTATACTTAATAGTAATTATATTCTGACATTGTTTTTCTTTAATTACCAATGTTATTACTCTGAATTAAATTTTTAATTAGATTTGAAAATTTTATCCTGAGAGAATTCAAAGTTTAACAGCTTTTTATATTTATGTAAGGTATATTATTATGCACCTATTTGGTGACTGCAACTGTTAACTAATTGAAATATAATTTTGGTTAAAAATTGCATCTGATTGGTATCCAGGCTAAGATCAATGAAGCACGATAGTGCATATGGCTCCTAGGGGCCGTGTCTCTTCCCGTTGACCGCATTAAATTATTGGTTATCAATTAGTAATTGATTTTTGTTATTTATGTAGGTATTACAGTATAATTGTTTGTGCCCAGAAGGGTATGTATCCACCTCCCACCCATTTTGGAAATTGTGGACATGCCACTAGCTCCAAATATAGGGCACAAATTTGGGCCCTAGAAAAGCTTGATTATGTATGCGACTATAGTCACTCCAAAATATTTTCAAATGTGCAGCGCTTAATAAAGCCATAAATTATTAACAAATAAATTCTATTATTTTTGGTTTTAAACTTATATGAACAAACACTACTGATGTTTAAAAATTTGTAACCACTGCACAATAACAAGATCAATCAACGTACCTGTTTATCTCTTGTGCAACATTCTTTAAAATCGTCATAGTACGCTTGACATAATTCCATGCCTTTTGGATACCCGTAGGCCTCGTAACAGTTCATCAATTTCATTTCAAAATCTGCACAGCGTACGCCCGTCTGCGCAGACATTATTGGACCTGTGAGATCGGTTATCGGGTTACGGAAGAACGGACTCAAAAACGACATTTTCTCTCACCTACAAAACTCAAAAGAATAGAATTAAAATTATCGTGTCTGGACTCTCAGTATATACTTACAGTGTCCGGAAAGAAGCCGAGAAAATTGAATAAAGAATTATTGTTTGACGTTTTGCAAAATACAAATAAGTATTAAATTATAAATTATCCTTCTAAATTCCAAAAAACTGATGCTTATCAAATATCACTAAACTGTTATCACAGTAAAATTCGAACAGACGACATGTGTAGAGGTCACAGCCGGGTGCCAGCAAAATTTTCGAAATTGTTTTTCTAAACGATAACGCGCCAAAACTGTTAAGTGACGTAAAAAATGAAAATACATAAAATTTTCGTTTACTATAGTAATATAATCAAGGCCAGATTAAGAACTTATTGGGCCCCTGGACTGAAATTTAATATGGGCCCTTTTGACAAAACATGCTTTACAAAGGCGCTCGCAGGAACATACATTTTTCTAACTATTTCACAAATTGACAATTGTATTTTTAAAATGAATAGGTAAATGTAATTTATGTCTATAAAGCTACTTAGCTAGTAGCTACTCATTTTATTGTAGTATAATAAAAGTTAATACTTCATATTTAATTAATTCAAATTCAAATTTTCCTAATAAATTTTAATTGTATTAACAGTATACTCATTTACAACAAATATCAAACAAAAGTTACTATAAAACAAAAACAATTTTATTACATTTTTTTTCTTGCTTTACTTGAAGCCAACTCTCTAATTACTTCGTTTAAGTCTATTGATTTTAACAGTCATTCTCAGAATATAAAATAATTTGTATGTCTAAGTTTTCTTGGGTTTGACTGGTTATATATTTATTTTTTACTCTAGTTAATTTAGAATAAGCTCTCTCCGTACATAAATAACATTTTTAACTATTGATGATATTATTGATATCAATGAAAATATTAAATAATAGTAAAATGCGTCTTTTCTAATTTCTACCACATAGTGGTTTTGTAGGTATTTACTATTTAGTTGTTTTTGTCTATATAAAAAAAACAGTTTTTAAAATATAAAAAAACTTTTCTTTAAAATCACTAAAAAATGTACATCAGCTTAAAATTGTTTGAGCCCCTTTGATTTTGGTACTTAAGAGGGCCCCGGGGCCTCCACCCCTTAATCCGGCCTTGAATATACCTGTGTCTACAGATTACAAACTGATAAACTATAAATGTATGTATTATAATATAATATGCAGTGGCTATTTTAATCATATTTTATATTCTATCATTATTAATTTTATTATTATTACTAATATAAATTACCTATAATAATATTATGTTATCCTACCACATAATATTACGAGCTTAAGACTGGTCAGGGGAGAGGACGTGGAAATATAATATATAAAGTTATTAGGTTTACCACAGAATAAAAGTTTTAACGTGGGAATTGCCACTGATAATATATATATATTTTTTTCAAACTCAATTAACTGTATAGTAATGTTTGAGTGTACTTCTTCATTAAGCATAGATATACGGTTGAGTGTCTGTGTAATATAATGGATGAGGTAAATTTAAATTTATATTAACCCTGCCACCCTGGTTCCTAAAACAACAATTGCAAATTGTGACCGAAGTGCGAAGGAGACAATTAGTGTTAGGGTGTATGGGTATCAGACATTCAGACTATCAACATTTATTTCTAATGACTGTTTTTGTTTTATCTGAGCTAGTTAATTATATTATTAAAAGTATATTTTTTCATTTGGCAGATTGAATTTTTGAATTTGCATACCTCTAAACTTAATAGTTAAAAGTCAATACTGAACAGTGAACTTACCAAGTATTATATATTTATAAAAGATTTAATACTAAGTGTCTACATTAAAATTTGTTAAATATTTTAAAAATATCATTGTTTATAGAAAACAATACTATACCTAGGTAGATAATATAAAAGTGCAAATCTTTACTGTTAATATTTTTTTAATAGCAAAATAATGATCAATATCATTATTTTTGTTTTAAATATCCAATTTTGTCAACACTTTAACCTTGAAACAAAAAATGTTTTACATTTTTATAACAATTGTATAATACAGGGGTGTGCTCACGGGGGAGGGTAAGGGTGTCATTGTCATGCGTAATTTATAATTCTTCGATAATTTCGGTTTACTCAAAAAACAAATGTAGTGTTTGTATCTGTTCACCCCCCCCCCCCCCCATAGGAAAAAGCTGAGCACGCCACTGGTATAATAATAATACAACCTAATAATTAGGCCAAAAAATTTTTTATTTATTTATGCCAAAGATATTTTCAAATTGATCATGCTAATAACATATGAGCAATATTATTTTTCTATTGTAATATTGTATGTCCAATGACAATAAATTAATTACCATAAATCAGAAATCCGTATTTTAGATCATGTTACAGCCTAAAGTAGTTGTAAATGTTATAACTTATAACTTATTAAGCAATATTATGAAAACAATTAACATTTATATTATCTTTTTAAAATGGGAAAATATATTACATAAAAATATTGTTAACATTTTTCAAAATAGTTAATAAATAATTATTCTATTTATAAATTATAATTTTTTCTTTACAGATTTTTATAATTAAAATTTTAAATGCAATAATATAACAGCATAATTAGAACACTAGAATAATGTTTGACATTTCTCATTTTACAGTCTACACTTAATAGAGTAAAGTAAATTGAGTGAAGCGCAAAGTTTCAAAAAAATGTCTTATACTTTTATACTTATAGTAAATTCAACGGAATCAAAACAAACACATGAAAAAATTAAAATTACAAAAATATTAGTAGTCCTAATGTTCATTCTGCATATCGGGCATAAGATTTTTAATAGTTTCCAGGTGGAAATTATTTTGCTGTAAATCAGAAGGTAACATCAATTAATGTTAATTTTGGTTAACCTAAACTAAAAAAACATAACAATTTAACTTACTAATTCGTTTAAGGCATTCTTTGCTAATTCAAAATCTTTCATAATAGTAATTACATCCATTTCCAATTTACTCTTATACAAATTATATTTGTTAATCTCAAATTCTAACGACTTTATAGTTTCGGATTGATAACTGGATTGTTTTATCATACTGTCAATTTCTCTGAAACATATACATCACAAATGAATAGTTGATAGAGCATTCTTCAAATAGTATGTAAAAAATTACTATTTTAATATAGTTTAATAAAGTTTAAACTTATTAATAACTATTTAATAATTATAAAAATATACCAACACTAAAAATCATAAAAATAATTTTTTATTTGTTCAAATGATATGGAATATAAATAGGTTTCACCGTGTTTTAAAAATAAAACAAAAAATGAGCTTTAAAAACAAATAACTATTTAGAATACTAACCAAGTTAGTAGGTAACACATTCAAATTAAATTTAAAACCTATGTATAATGAAATGAAATTTAAATAAAAAATTCTTTAATCGATAGTGTATTCTTACTTATTTAATGCATCAGATTTAGACTTGTATGAATTGCGTTCCCTCTCCATTTCTTTAACAGAATTATTTATTTTGTTATTTATTTCAGCTCGTTCACGTTCCAGAATTTCAATCCTTTCCTTCAAATTTTCAGAAGACTCTTCTAATTCACATTTTGTTTGTGACAATGTTTCAATTCCATTAATTAATTTACTAAAACAGATTAAAAAAAATTGAATTAAAAAATATACTAATATTCTCATTTTATAAATAAAAAAGTATATAATTTCTTTTATTCTGAAATAAAACGTGTTTTTTTATAAGTCTTTTTGATCAAAATGATCTACAACTTACGAAAGTCTTTCATTTTTTTCAGTAATATCTGTTAACAAACGTAATCGTTTTTCTTGTGCTGCTAGTTCTTGTTCCAGAATTATGACAGTTTGTTTTTTAGCACTAACTTGAGCCATCATTGCAGATTTCTTTTCTGTTATTTCATTTTTCAATCTTTTTAGACGTTCATGATCAGCTTTTAATAAATCTGGTGCCTCAACAATTTGTGCTCTAAGATCATTTATATCTCTTATGATCTAAAATCGATAAATAGTAGAATTATAAAATAACTTAAATGGCTATGATAATATTAGTATAGAAAGCACTCTTACTTTAATACATTGTTATTTTTAATTACTTCAATATTTTTTACATATCTTATTTATTCAAATAATTTACTTTAATATTTATTGATAAGTAGGTAGATATGAAATTATTACAAAACATTTTTTAATTTTTACATTGTCTAGTTAAATATAACGTTAGACAAATATATATGGTATTCTTTATAATTGCAGACTAGATTTTGAAATGAAGATAAAATGTATGTTATGCTGTCAAAAGTCTAATATTTTTACTGTGTGGGAGGAGGTCCACACCTATTGGTTCATCCCAGTCCATTGTTATAAATAAAGCACGGATTTATATGCATTAAAAACCAATCAAATATGCTTTAAAAAGTCATAAATATTTGCACTGAAATGTTAAAATATGCCTAATCATAACCAAAATTATAATAATAATTTTTTACAAAAATGTAATTTAAAAGAATAATTGAGTAGGATCGATCAACTGCGCTGTACACCTGTACATTTTGTATGAACTAAAAAAACTGATAAATAAATATTAATAATAAAATTATTTGGTGTAGGATCTACACCTATACTGAGTGCGCTGAGAGAGTACAAGTTGGCCGCGCAAGTCTGAGGTTTTGAAGTCTAATTTCTACCACCAAGTTGACTAGTCGTACGCCATACGATGTGCGCCGCCGACTTGCGCTCTCTTGGCACATTCAGTATAGTATCTACCACTGTAAATACTTAATTGTATCGAATTTCATTATATCTCGTCATAGGTGTGATAAAGATGAAATAGGTCTATCTCTTATATAATAAAATATGTTATGTATGAAAAAAAAAGTAATAATTCAACAATATGGTAATAATGCACCCATGTCACTTATTGATGCTGTTATGATGTTAAGGCTTCAGCGGACCCCCTTGGGGTCCTCGGACCACATGTTAAGAACCTCTGTGATTATATTATAGATTTTTTGAAGTAAATGTAATTTCTGATTTCACTAATTCAGTAGTACAACATAATTAAATGTAGTTAAATGTAGTAACTCGTGTATGTACAATTATTTCTTAACTTTCTATATAATACAATAACAATTGAAAAAAAAATACATTACATTATCTTTTAGTTCACACAACTTTGAGCATTTTTTCTCAATATCTTCTTGATCTTGTTTCACTTTCTCTAATTCTTTAAGTACATCATCTCGATGTTTTTGAATTTTTGCCAATTCAGACTTCCCATCTTTCACTTCTTCGGCAACCTTAAAATAATTTGACAAACAAAAAAAAAATTAACAATGAAATATTAAAAATGTTAATATATACCTACAGTTTTTATTTCAGCTCCTCGTTGTATACGGTCTAAAGACTTTTTATTAATTGTATTCACAATAATATCTTTTTGCTTCTTAAAACTATCAATTGTATCTTTCATATTTCTAACAGCTTTCATTTTAGCATCAACTTCATGTATTTTTTCATCACTATATTTAATGAAGTTTATCATTGTTTGCAGCAAACGATACGTCCTTTTGGAACCTTTGAAATATAGTTTCAAGTTTAAAAATATTAAAAAGCTTGGACAGGATGCAAATACATTGACTAGGTTCCTTCCTTCCCAATATCAAATTTGGTACAGAATAGTAAAATGTAATAAATAGTTTTGACTAGTTTAAGCCATAATTATAGTATTCAAAATATATATTTTTTTTTGTAGCCAAACTGCTGTTACTAAGCAAACATGGTCTATTTAAAATTAACCAAAGTGTTAAGTTAATGCTTTGTGTAAAGATTTTTCAATAATTACAATTTTAAAGAAATAATAAGTATTATTTTAAAAAATTTCATTGGTTGTAATTATTTAAAACGAAAAAACCTACATTGGATATAAGATTAAATGAACACTTAGTACATTTTATAAAGCGAAAAGCTTACCCAAATTTGAGAAGTTTGTTGGCAAAATGTGATAGAAAATGTTATGTTGAAATTGTCTCAAAATAAAAATAACATAGTTGTAATACTCGGTATTTTATAAATCTTTGACACAATTTAAGATAGTTAATTAATGTAACAATAATTTCTAATACCTTAATGCGTAATAAATAATAATGATAGCAAAAACTCACTCGGATCACAAATATCATTCAAACCAAAATCATCAATTCCCAATTTCGAGTAGATATATTTCAAAGCTGTGCACATGTTCAATATTGGCACGGTTTCACTGTACATTTCATGGTACGTAAGATTTTGATTGATATGGATCTACAGAATAATCGTAGATATAAATAAAAATTTTTAAACAACTTTTCACAGAATCTTGAGTTAATATTCACTTATCTAGTTGTAGAATATAATAACTTTTTTATGAAATGTAATGTATAATGACAATGAAAATTACCTCGATCAAATTATTCACATCGCAGAAAAATTCGTTGAACACATCCGTGTAGAAATTCGTAACAAACGATTGAGAAGGCTCTTGTAGATCTTTGATAGTCGCTTTGAATTGTGGCATGTATTGTTCTAATTCATTAATAAGGTAACCGTATTCGACGTGCATTGACGATTTGTTCTGCTTGGCCATTGAGGTGATGTTTGGCTGCCAGGCCATTTTAAAGTTTTCGAGTAGTGTAACAGTCAACAGATAGAAGATGGGTATTTTGTGTAAAATGTAAATGTGTAAATTTGATGTTTCAACTTTCGAATTCAATAATTGTAGGTATTTAAATCGAAACTCTATAGTGATTACTGATTAGCACGAGCTAATATATATATTAAGATATCTTGATTCGTGGTTATTAGTCAATACTATTTAAAAATCGAAAAACGGTCAATACTTATGATCATACAATGGTCTATGCCCTAGCCCTATGGTAGAATATTTTTTAAATTATTTAACGATTCTTTTCCATATCTCGAAAGCAGTAAAATATAATAAATCAACTATCAAATATCAACAAACTTTGCAGACACTCGATTGGTCGAATCTAGTATGGGCCATGGAATAGATAAGAGAACTGAGAAGATCTTCGGTTATTATCAAGGTGGATTGATCCACCTTGGTTATTATCATAATGGCCCTGTAGGACGATAAGAATACTGAGGATGATACTATTAACAGAGGGAAGATTCAAGTTCAAAAAAAGCGGGTAAGTAGAATGATAGAGAGTCAATTGAAGTCAAATGTGAGTCAATTTAAATTAAATAATACAAACCCATTGTAGGTATACGAAAAACGATTCTGAGTGAAGACAATTAATATCCGTCAGCCTATAATGTTACTAAGTACAATACAAATACCAACAATATTCACTTTCCTACTAAAAAAGTTGCTGAAGTAGAAAATTAAAGCATTTTACTGCCCCAGAATGTGATGACACAAAAATAAAACATTGTTAAATCAATACAGATGATCAGATTTCGGATTGACAAAATAATGAAAATCGATGTTCTTCATGATTGAAATTGACAGTTTTTATTATTTAGTATTTACAATATAATAATATTTAGTATGATATCCTATTATACACCCGAAATAATAACCCGAAATATTGTTAAAATTATTTATTAGTTTATTGTAAATCTACCTACTCTAGTCCTCGTTACTTTGATAATTTAATGTTTATTTAGTTTTATTTTTATTTAATTTTGTTTTTCACCAATAAACCTACGCCATATGCAAGAAGAAAAAAAAACAATGCATAATAATTTATTAACAAAATACGCTGTGTCTAGCCTCCAGACCATGGTCGGTATTTGGTAAGATAAAGAATGGCGGACCAGTGTCAACAACTTACATCATAGAGTATTAGTCATATTACTTTATGACTTCAATACATGAATTAACAGGCAACGATTATATATTATGATGTAGTGTAAAAAATATATAAAGCTTTTTTAAATTATCCATGTTTTTATCTGAATTATATTATGAGTGTTTATTTGTGACCTAAGTAATTGAATTCCAAATAGACAATGGTCTTGTAAAACAAATTAGGTATAATATTAAAATAAATCGTACTCATTTTCTTTATTTAAACTTTGACTGGATATTATATTCAATGAAATTAAGATTAAGTCAGCACAATATTTAATTGCTATGTAAGGATTCTCTCACAAACCTATGCGCACACAGATAAAATGCTTCTTGTAACATTGTGTCATTGTCTAAACATAAAAAAAAATGATTTTGTGAGAAACGGTTTGTCTGTGTTACGCATGGGCCAGAGAGAAAACATACAGTGAGTTGACATCACCAACTAAGAGGGTTTTTGTGCTTAATGATTTAGTTACACATACGTCATATTATTATACTTATAAATATATAATACACAGTTGGCTTATAAAATAACAATTATAATGTTTAATATATATTTGTATTAAATCAAACGTTGTGTCATTAGGTTAATTAATGTGGTAACTTAAAAATTACTTGTATACAATGAAAATAAATTTGTAATACAGAAAATTTATAAAACAAAATATATTATCAATGAAATTAAATTTCTTGGTAATATTATAATATACTGAATTATGTATATAAGTCATAAAAAATAGGTAACTGGAAGCAAGTAGCCCAGGAATGTCCAGTTAGTAGGAATTATGTCGTAATAACTTAAGTATAACATCAATTGAAGTCCTAAAAATAAAATGTTTAGTTTAATAAAATTTCAAACAAATTTTAATCATTTAACTACTTATAGAATTATATTCTATTAAAGAGATGAATTTAAAAAAAATATATATTTTTTACAACTTTCATAAATACTGTATAATTATTCAATAAAATGTTAATTACATATACATCTTCAAACAATCTACTTTTATTAATTTACATTAAAAAAATATTACACATAACAATTTTATGAAGTAATTTATTTGTTTGTAATATTTGTAATGGTTATTCATACCATCGTTCGTCTCGTATCACCTGCCACTCGATCTAACAGCTAAAACAAAGTTAATAAATAATATATTAGTCTTACATAATTAAATTTTTTTTTTAATTATTAATAACTCACTCCAGTTATGCCAGGCAAATTGAGTAAAGTTCCCAATAATGGTACTCGGCGCATGAAATTTATTGCTACTGGGAAGAAACCACTGAAAAACAAATAATCTGTTAAATACTTAAAACTTAATAATTAGAGAACAGATTTATATGTAAATGTACAAATTTATTACAATAAGATATTTTGAATTTGATGTTATGTGTGCATGTTATAAATTAGTCTTGTTAAATTAATGAACATTTTTTACCCTACCACTGTTGTGGGTACCTAGTGTATTTTAGATTCTGAGCGGAGCAATGTTTTATATATTGTTACAACAATTTAAATTAAAAGTAAATTATAATCATATTTTCTTTACAATTAATAGTAGCCATCGGCCTACCGAGTTTTATGATTTATAATGTATGATTACAGCAATTAGCAACTATGCGGAGCAATAATTTGATTAATTATATTTTCCATTAATGTTTGTACTTTGTACCAACATCTCATTATCACATACAAAAAAAATTATGACCAAACCTCATGACCGTCCTATGCCACTTTGAGATTTACTCAGTAGCTTGCAGGCTCAATCCGGGCCTAATAGTAGCATAGTTAAGAATTAGGCGTAAAGAAATACAAAAAGATAAGATAATTTCCTGCTAATTCTTAAACGGTTTAAACTAATTCTTATTTTTTTCATAGATATGTATTTGTTGTAAAAATTGTGCTCTAGTTAATGTTATATTTTGTGGAAAATGATTTATATACAGTATCTTAAAATTCTTTTGAAGGTAGGACTGCTGTATGCACTTGAAATTACACATATCTACAGTAACAGGACGACTACATACTAACATAATACTACAATTCAAAATATTAGAAGAAGTATTTACCATTTTTCAATCCTACACATAAAATATTTAGATATCTACAGAGAAATATTGATCATGAATATCAAAATTTTAGATTGAAAACGGCAACTGATGGTAAGGTCACCTGGTGACGGGATAACCACATTTTAAACCGCTCGGTGGCGGGGTGATAACAAATACGTACTGTAGAAAAGCTAGCAAACTTACCTGAACAGAAGTATAAATCCATAAATTTCCAATAGCATTCCTACAATGGGCCATCCAAAAAGAACAACTGATATCCCGCCAAAAAATGACAAAGATGCTTTGATTTTTTGCCTTTGGAAAAAGAACTTTAAAGTTCGTTGTACACCAATAACACAACTAAGACCCACTATGAACAATATCTAAATAAAAAATGAAATAATTAAACATAAATAAATTAGATAATTTTAAAACGTATACCTTCTACTCATGCATATATTTGCACAAATTAACTTGAAAAAAGTAATATCAAGGACAGGAAATAGTCATAATTTTATATTAATTTGTGTAGGTACTCACATTGCCAATGGCTAAAAGTCCTTTGTCAAACAGCAACAACATTCCCAGGAATAGAAACGATATTCCAAAACCAGCCAAGCCGACTCCGATTTCTGTAGGAAAAAAAAAATTTATTTATTTATACATAATACGGTGTTGAAGAAGACAAATGCATTTACACATACTTTGTAAATCGGTTATTTCAAACATTGAAGACATTTGAAACAAATTTCGTCACAGAAAAATATATTTAAAAATCATTATTAATAATACAAATGTTATATAAAACCTTTCAACACTATGTTACGAAGTTACATTAATATTATGTACCATTTTATTTTACGACAGCCAAGTACTGAGTGCGGTACTTCAGTAGTTAAGTACTAATAGCGCAAAGTGAACAAAATAACAATACCAATAGTATTTTTTAATTTATAATATTGTGATTATAGTGAACATCATATTGAAGTTTTTAAATACTGAAATATTGAGACGACGTCGTGTGGTGGTGACTTGTGTTGGGCTTGCTTGAAACTTGGGAGTTGGGATTTTGGAAGCATAGTAATAGTAATATTATAATAGTTATTCCACGATTTAAATTTGATAACCACTATAACATTTGACGCAATAAAATGGTAAAATTATTGATTTTGATCCAAAAGCTGGTATAACTTGCAACTATTTTCGCACTTATTGGGCAACACTGTATCAGCTACGACACAGTTGGAGATAGTCTGTGGTGTACGTAGTAGAGTTGTTATCAAATTGATGATAAAAAGTGAAATTTCAAAACAAGTTTTCTACATGGACTAGTACGTTTTTTAATATATATTTTTTGGATTAAGCCAGCGTCAAAATGGTTTTGGCCGATTTGGGCCGCAAGATCACTTCAGCCCTTCGGGGTCTGAATAACGCCAGCGTCATCAATGAGGAGGTACGTTAATGGTTTACAGTGCATATTGAAAATGTATTTTCATGTATTAGAAATACATTATGTATGTCTGCTGTAGGTGTTGAACTCCATGCTGAAAGACATCTGTGCGGCTCTGCTGGAAGCCAACGTCAATGTTATGCTTGTCAAAAAACTTAGGGAGAATGTACGTAATGTCATTGATTTCGACGAGATGGCCGGAGGTCTAAACAAGAGGCGTATGATACAGAGCGCAGTGTTCAAAGAACTAGTGAAAGTAAGATAACGCACACTCGCAACTTGACGGTTACTTTGTTTCAATCTCATACTCATTCTGATTTGTTTTCAGTTGGTAGATCCTGGTGTAAAATCTTACCAGCCAGTAAAAGGACGACCGAACATAATCATGTTTGTCGGTCTACAGGGTTCTGGTAAGACAACAACTTGTACCAAGTTGGCATATTACTATCTAAAAAAAAATTGGAAAACTTGTCTCGTGTGTGCGGATACCTTTCGTGCTGGAGCGTATGATCAGTTGAAACAGAATGCTACTAAAGCTCAAATACCGTTTTACGGAAGGTGTGTACAATTATTTAACTCTTATTTATTTTTTTCAGTTAATCGCTATTTATTACTTACATCTTAAATGTCTACAAGTTATCTTATATCTAAATGTTATAATATTCAGTTATTAAAATATGTTGATTATCATTTCAGTTACACAGAAGTAGATCCTGTTGTTATAGCTCAAGATGGTGTAGATATGTTCAAAAAAGAAGGTTTTGAAATAATTGTTGTTGACACGAGTGGACGGCATAAACAAGAAGCTTCTTTATTCGAAGAAATGTTACAAGTGTCAAATACTATTGTGAGAAAACTTCAAAATAAAATGTTCTATATTTCATTAAAATATTATACAATAAAGATAATCTATTTTAGAAACCTGATAACATTGTATTCGTTATGGACGCAACAATCGGTCAAGCTTGTGAAGGGCAGGCTCGAGCTTTTAAAGATAAAGTCAATATTGGTTCTGTAGTGATCACTAAGCTTGATGGCCATGCAAAAGGAGGAGGAGCACTGAGCGCGTAATTAATTGAAATACATTTTTTTTTTGCTATCGATTTATTTTAAATTGAATTATATTTTAGAAACTTTTTGTTTCATCTATTGATTGTTAATTTTGGTTTTAATGGCTATTGGATTTTGTTCTAGTAAAATGTGTTTATGATTTGTTCAATTTGTTAAATAGCGTGGCCGCAACAAAGAGTCCAATTATTTTCATTGGTACTGGAGAACACATAGATGATTTTGAACCATTCAAAACAAAGCCATTCGTCTCCAAACTGCTTGGTATGGGTGATATCGAAGGACTGATCGACAAAGTAAATGAATTAAAACTAGAAGATAATGAAGAGTTAATTGAGAAAATAAAACACGGACAGTTCACAATTAGAGATATGTACGAGCAATTTCAAAACATTATGAAGATGGGTCCATTTTCACAAATCATGGTGAATCAAGCTTTTGTTGATTTTCTATAATTAAAATTATTGTTAAAGAGACTTACCTTTTTTTTTTTATAGGGTATGATACCAGGATTTAGTCAAGATTTCTTATCTAAAGGTAGTGAAATGGAATCCATGGCTCGATTAAAAAAGCTTATGACAATTATGGACAGTATGAATGATGGAGGTAAATTATTTCAATACAATTAAATATAAAATGTATAATTAACTGTACAATAAATAAACCCTATGCTTATATTTATATGATAGAACTCGACCATAGAGATGGAGCAAAATTGTTTACAAAACAACCAGGACGTATAATTAGAGTTTCCCAGGGAGCTGGTGTTACAGAACGTGAAGTAAGAGAGCTTATATCTCAATATACAAAATTTGCTGGAGTTGTCAAAAAAATGGGTGGAATCAAGGGATTATTCAAGAGCGGTGATATGTCCAAAAATGTCAATCCATCACAAATGGCCAAGCTTAATCAACAAATCACAAAAATGATGGATCCCAGGGTTTTGCAGCAAATTGGTATATTTATGCATGAAGCAATTCAATTTAATAAAATTCTAAAATTTAGTAAAGTGATCTTTTTTTTTGTAAATATGAAAACCTTATGATTTTAAATTTTTAATGTTGACCAAACTTTGGCTATTTAGTTGACATAATATTATTTATTTTTATTAATTAACAAATAACACTTTTAGGTGGAATGCCAGGATTGCAAAATGTTATGCGGCAGTTACAACAAGGCGCTGGAGGAGGTCTTGGTAATTTAATGGGTGGTTTAGGTAAATAAATAACTTGTAAACAAATAAACTCTCTTTTTCCAAAATATATATGTACCTTTTCATCTGTACAAATTCCATAAAGTAAGATAGATAATTGTCTTGTGTAAGTTGTTTCCCTTCCCATATGATAATTACTCTAGTTTTACATGTTATGCTGGTACTACTGATTCTAAAATTAATATTTACATCAAAATGAATCTATTGTAAGTATTTGAATACAATTTATTTTTATTTTTATTTTGTAAAAAGAAAAACTAATATAAGTTTGTTTTTGGTTATTAAATATTATAATATATGGCGTAAGCATAGATACTTGATTACATATTTTGATCAATGTGATTTTCTAAAAAAAATATATATAAAAAAATAGAAAACATTTTGTGTTCAGATATTTTTTATGTGTGTAATAATTATTATACTAAATTTACTATTGACAATCGTTTAAAAATAATATCTAAAAATAATAATATCTACTTGAAATGATAGCATGGTTGGATTTATTTTACCTATTCGGGGTATAGAAGTATATTAAACAAATGTGAGATATTAGAAATTGCAGATAAAGCATAAGACTCCAGTATATGATTATGTTCAACAAATATAATATGGATAAGTATATGTAATTGATTATTAAATTATCTTATATTTTAAATATTTTAACAACTAATAATAATAATAATTACTAATAATTAGAAATATAATATTATATAGGTCTATGGTCAATTTTATTTAAATTAAAAACGGCTATATTTTCTCATATTTTGAGCTTGTAAACTTATTAGATGCAGCCGCGTGTAACATAAGAGTCCAAGTGTTGCTCGGGAAACACCTTAAATAGGGTTGGGTGGGTATTAATAGATGAAAAAATGGGTCATTTTATAGGTTGGTATAACCTACCTTGTGGCTTGTAGGTCTCCTAAAATTATTTGAACACACCAAATTTTTTATGGTACACGCCACTGATTAGAAGAAGCTAAAATTTTACTTTACCTCAATACCTTATATTTTTTTCACAAGCATTTTTATTTAAATGAATGAAATATAACTAATTTAAGAAAATATAGTGTTAACTTTCTTAAATATATTTCCACATAGATATAAATTAGTAAAGTTTGATTATTAGTTGATAAATTGTATGAAAAATCATTAATGTATTATAAGTATCAAGTGCCAATATTCATTATAATAATAATAATAATGGTATCCAGGCGGCTCAGGGACTTTACCCCTCCCCAACTTGACAAAATAATGTATTATCGTGTAGGTACCTATTTATTTATGTGATATATTATAATTCATTCGTGTTAAATAATAAATTGCATAAGCTTAAAATATAAATAAAATTGTAACTTTTGTTATCAAATCTTATTTATAATATGTAATGAACTAAAATTATAATAATAGTTATTCTGAAAAAAATGTAGCCCCCACCATATCCGCCCATAAACAGCTAAAACTGTTATGGTGTATAGAAAATGATAATATAAACATTCAGAAAAAATGTCATGTATCTACCTTACACCAAAAACTGTCGTCGATTTCGTTTGAAACCGATGTTGCAAAAAATTTACCATTTTTCTTTAATTTTTTTTTTCCCGGGAGCTTTTGAAAACTACTTGAAATTTTATATTTTGGCCTACTATATGCACCAACTGGATTCACCTTCCCATAGAATAAGATACTGACGTTTAAAATCGAAGCATTATTTCGACTACTTATCGTGTACACGGACACAAAAAGAAATTAAAAATAAAAACACATTTTAAAATCAATACATTCATCGCTCCACTCAGAATCTAAAGCGGAGTCTGAGCGGAGACGGTTTATCAGTCTGGATATTTTATATTGTTATTATATTTTATTATAGGCCTGTATGTTGAATTAATATTATAAATTACAACTAAATAAATAAAATCGTTAGTTTTATTTTTATTTGTTTTTATGATAATAAACAAAGTGTTAAAAATTAAAATCCCATTTTTAGCAGTTTTTGTAATTTATCGG